AAATTCAGCATGTGCAGGAGAAAGAGTGCAAGGGCTGAGAGTTTTGTGTTGTGTGTGTGTGTGTGTGTGTGTGTGTGTGTGTGTGTGTGTGTGTGTGTGTGAGGGGGTGCATTAAGTAGGTGGCAAAGTGAGTTTATGATTTGTCCTCTGCCATGTTGTTTTGCTTTACTGCAGCTTCTCTGTAACTGACAGATCAGTCAGCACTAAAATCAGCTGTGGAGGACAAAAATCCCATATTTAAATCTTTGACTAAATGAGAATGGTACTCAGATGTGATGCTGATCTTTAGATTATTTGAAGAGCATTAAAATCAATTCTTCTACCCGACAGACTAATAACCAGTTTGTTCAGTATCCTGGAAATATATTAAAGCATCCCTCGTTTTAAAGCTGTGGTGGTAAACACAATTCATTTCATCAAGTTCARGAGGAAGGTCGTGCACAAAAACCTTCCATGTTTTAATTTGAACCCAGGTTCTGGCTCCTGGGAGGTATTTTCTCTCTGCTTCAGTAGCTGAATTCAGAAAGCTGCATCTGTTTCTTGGTCTTTTTTGCAAAGACTGAAGTTGTCAAGTAAAGTTTTAACCCTTTGATGCAAAACATGGGCCAAAAGTGACCCAGCTGAGTTTGTYATCTTCTATATCTTTGCAATAAATTAATTTTATCATTCAGCAGTCAAGGAATTTCTCAATTAACTTGTTTTTCATCCTTATTTTGATTTTTTACTTTTTGATTAAAAACTGTTTTTGTATCACTACCCTTCTAATGCACAATTTGGGTCAAAAAGGACCAGCACTTGTTTTCCAGGTTACTTCATTTATGTGGTTGAGTGTTTCTATAATATACTTTTGAAATAGATTAAATTTATCATTTAATTTTCCAAATGTATAGTAAATATCTTGTTTTTCTTTAGCACAAGTCATCACTTTTATTTTTCCTTTCTTAAGTTATGAACAAACACAGCTTTTGTAATTCTACATCATGTTTACACACATGGGTCAGAAACGACCTGCATGTATTTACTGCAGCATTTGGTGGGAACTGTGAATTGTTCTTGTGTCAGATATTTCACAACTCAGCACAGCACCTTTGCCCATCTAATTAATATATGCAAGTATTGTTTTACACTAGTTCTAACATTACCTTTGAAACAGTTGGATTATTTTAGGCTACCTTGAGAGTCTTTAAATTAGAAAGTTTTAGCTAGCTGTTGACATATTCTACTTTAGTTAGCTAATTATATTGTAGTTGGCTAACTACATAGCTAAGTGGACTGCTATGCTACTAAGCACAGTAGTTACTTAAGTAGTTAGCAAAGCTACTTAGCAAAGTCAACATGTATTTTTGGTGTGCATCTAAAATTATTTTTGTGGTTTTGACTTTCTTTATCCAGAGGATGMCTGCTTGTTTTACTGATGGTTGTAGCAATGCTGCAGGAAGAACCAGATGTGGTCAGAACCCTCTGATGATGCAGAAGACTCGTCTGATGAGCCCTCTGAAGAGGAAACTCAGACTCAGTCCAATATATTGTGTAAAAACAGATCTTACTGGAATGAAAATTCCTCCACTCATGGCAAAACAAGCCATAATATTCTGAGGAACTGCCCAGGACCTACATCTGGATCTAGAGTTGTTTCACCAAAAGATGCCTGGGATATGTTCCCAGTGCACCAGGCCTATGTGCAAG